TTCAAAATAAACTTCCATCTTCACAGGAAACAACTACGGTTTAGGCCAGGCATGTCCAAAGTCCGGTCACACATGAATGCTTACATTTGGTTACATTGCTATTCGCTGTCATTGAAAATAAAATGATTAAATAACAATGTATGTATAGGCTACTTGTATTGTTTAAAATAATGTTAGCAGGGACTGTTGACCCTTGGGCATTTTCACATTATCAAATCTGGCCCTCTTTGAAAAAAGATTGGACACCCCTGACCTAACTCAAGTAATACATGATAATATATCAGTCAAGGCCATGGACATTTTCTGCAGGATTGCATACTTTTACTTTGATACTTTTTTGCTCATAATACCACCTGAGTAGAATTTTGAATGCATGACTATTACTTACAATGGAGTACTATACATTATTGTATTGTATTGTATTTTACTTAAGTAAAGGATCTATTTCACCACTGATCCAAACAAACAGCACTATTTTCAGTGAAGATAATGAGAAATTTGGACAAAAACACCTGAACTCAAATATTCTGAGCATGCAGCAAAGACTATAGCAGTTTATCGTCTAAACTGACTACATATTCTCATAATCAGGTAAATATGTCTGAGTGTGATGTGACTGATGTGATATTCAGACAATCCGTTTGTGTTGTTAAAGAAAAAAATAGCTGTAGCACTTTTTTACTCATAGAAAGTTCTTTCAAGCGTTAAATCACTGTTAGGATCGATATTACAGTCTGTCATTGGGGTAAACAGGCATGATGATTGCTCAGAGCAGAAGGAGCTTCGCATAAACAACAGATATAACAGCAACATAGAAAATATACTGTGATTTGATTATAATATTCTATCATAACATTAGTTGTGAGCAACCTGTCTGATTAAAAGGACAACTGTGCTTAAATTAGCCTTAAAAGTGGATCAGGATTATCAACAACATGTCCTACCTGAAGTCATAATTGATCAACACTAGCACAGCCGCAGATAAATGGGATTTGTTTTGTTTTTAAATAACAGCACTGATTTGGCTTCTGTTTTTTAGCAAACAACTATTTTGAAGGACATATTTTCTAATTTGTTTTTTTGAGTAATTTGCACTTAATTGACAAATGCAATGTCATGCTTTTTCTCAACAAGGCGATTCATTGAAAATGATCTTAGTATTTAGTTATAGATGAAAGCCATGGATATTTTTATAGATGAGACAGCAGCTGACAGTCGGAGTGAGTCACGCTCAAGTCTCTGTCTCGACCGACGATCCGCGTCCAAATAAAAACACGGGTGCGAACAGGTTTGACACATTCTTTGGATGAAAACATTTATTTTGTGGTAAACCAACAGAATTTTAAATGTATTGCCCAGAGTTTATTCGTGATGAAGGTGGACAGTCTGTGTATAAAATGATCAAACAAAATCCATGCTGTGTTCAGCAGGAATCTGAGTGAGCCGACCATACAGGCCCCTCAACTATTTGTTTTTCCCCTTTTTCCTTTTGAATTAAATCTGTTCTTTTAATGAAATAGTCCACCTTTGATTGACACGCTTTCTCTTCTCATAATCATAGTCTTCTTGTTACTGTTATTGCCTTAATATACAGTACAGAAAGTCCTTGTGGTCTTCCTATATGTATATGCATGTCCGTACAGCCAATAATATGCAACATCCCAGAGTGTCTTGCATAATAATGAATGTGCAAAATGTGTGTGGGTGTGTATATATGTGTGTTTCCGCACGCATGCACCTTTGCATGTGTGCGTGCACTTGCTAAATGTGTTTGCCAATCGTGACGTTTAAGGCCCATCAGTTGTAGCCAGTTTCCATGGTAACATCTCTCTGAGAGCACAGACGTAGGAGAGAGGGGAAAGGAGTCGAGACAATCATGGTGGTGGAGGGCGCTGGAAAAGGAAGAGCCCGGGATGAGGAGTGTGAAACAGTGTGAACCGTGGAATGAGGCAGAACGAGAAACAGATGCATGTGCTGTGAGAGAGCGAGCAATTCTGTGTGTCTGTGTGTGTGTGTGTGTGTGTGTGTGTGTGTGTGTGTGTGTGTGTGTGTGTGTGTGTGTGTGTGTATATATATATCCTGTGATAAACAGGTATCGTGCATGGAAGCCTTGGGGTTGTGGTCCTCATGAGTACATACATGAACCTGTTATATATGTACTGGATGTAATAGGAATTTTAAAAACTCTATTGTGCAGAAAAGACCGACTTCAATTGTATTCTTCTGTGTTTTGAGTGAGAGCCTCGCAGTGAGTCAACAGGAATCTCTAATACAATGTAGTTTCCATGGTGACAGGGAAATGATACGTCCTTTTCAAACGGAAGGGAAAACGCCAGCTTGAAGCCTCGCTGTTGCTCTGTTTTCTGTCTGAATCATTATTTAGACAAGTGATAACCCAGCAAACCTTACAGACCCTACAGAGGACTTCCTGGGGCGGCTTAGAGACACACTCCACCGCTTTCTTCTGTCTCTCTTTATTCCTTTTGAAACAAGAAAAAAAGATATTCTTGCGGAGCATAAAAATGTCCGAAAATGTTAAATGTAATATAGCTGCAGTGACATTTTCATCAGTAATTTTTTGCTGTGTAGATGTACTAATGTCAAGTAAGTTTTGTTATCCAATAGGCATCCAGTGCTCTATAATTTGATACGTTAGTATTCTGGAGGCGCAGACAGTAATGAAAGGCTATCATCCTCGCTTTGCCGCCTCTCCAGTGGAAGCTCTTTTCACATCAGCGAGGCATTTTTAGGCAATTCAGTATTTTGGTGCTTTTTAAGAGCTTGGGTGAATGTCTCTGAGACCACTTCTGAATGCAGCTGGTTTTTAACAGCTTCCGATGTGGCAGTCCGTCTCCTATACTCCATCTAATGCACCACTATCCTCGCTCATAAATCATCCTCAGAGTTATATATTTCTATATTTCTTCCCCTATACATCTCTGGCGTTGGCAGAGCATCATGTCTGCAAAACTCCTCACTGATGGCAAAAACACTGACCCTCCACAGACAGGAAGCAAGAAACTCTTTTTTGGCATTACTGTTTTATTAGAATACGGCATGAGAATTGTTTATTAACTGTACATCATAGTGTAACCTAATAAATATAAAGTAATCCACCAAATTTACTGTAGCGTACATTGATGATGAATGTATAAAAGACAGATACAAATAGATATACTTAAATACAGTTTTCTAAAATGCTTTGTTCAGAGCAACTACATAATGACATTCAACTGAGCTGTTTTCTCCTCCGCATGTTCCTGTGCTTTATTAGTGATTGTCCATACACTCACATTGTTGGCAGAGTTTTGAGGTTTCAGAGTCCTGTGATTACTTTCATGGGAGCATCATTTTGCACAGTATACTGTCTACTGTGTGTCTTCAGGAACACTGACAGACAGTTGCTTCAGTCAATGTTGTTGCTGTAATTTGGTTGAAATTCAAATCGCACAAGTCGTTTGAGTTGCTCCCTCGAAACTTTTCATTAGTACCAAGGTGACATGAAACAGACTGGGATAGACAGGTGTAGGTGTGTGTGTGTGTGTGTGTGTGTGTGTGTGTGTGTGTGTGTGTAGGTGTGTGAGAGATGAGCTGTTTTAATTGGTGGCATCTCATTCATTCATGATGCAACTACTGCAGCTGCACCGAGCACAAAATGTTTTTTAAACTTGAGAATCTTTTGCAGTGAAGCTTATTATGTAATATTTGTCGTAAAAGGTAAAGCATATGTACTGTATGAAGCAGTTACTACAGATTCATGTTGAACATCATTTCGACAGCGATGATCACGTTTTTTAACATGTTTTGATTATTTATAGATTTTTTGTCTTGTTCTCAACAATCCTATGAAAAGACCAAAACCAACAATGCCTGCGTAGCAATAGCTTGATCTAGCTTATTCCTGTGTGACATCTAACTGTTAAGATCACATCAATGACTACGTTGACCTGCACAAAATATTCAGCTATTCGGAATATTGTCATATTCAAAATAATAGTGGAATATTGGTGTGCATGTAAACGTAGTTAGTGAGCCACACTGTTAAAATCAGTGACAAGTTCCTTCATTACGATTAACATGGGCGCTGTTGTTTGTTTTGAATCAATCCCACGTACACTGTCTTGTGTTGCAAATTCTTGTACAAGCAAATATGTATTAATCCGCTGCTAAAAACAGTCCCCAAGAAATGCTCTATTTACTCCTCTTGTAGTGACATATCCTAATAAACTAAAATGTCCAGCTGTTTTAGTAAATTATTCACCTTTAAGAAGTTTGTAAAGATTTACATTTCAGTGGAAACAAATAGTTTTGGGGCTCCCCAGAAAAGGGAAGTCGAAAAATATTAACACATTGTTGGTTTTAGTCTTTTCATGGTATTTATTGACACCAACTAAAAAATAGAACAATGCCAGCCTTATCCTATAGCCCAATTTATATTGGTATCCATTGTTGCTTCCAATTAAAATGCAGTTAAACCCATCGTAAATATGCTTACATGCGCAAAATGTAAAGCAAAATATTTTGTGCAGTGAGTCTTTGTTTTGTATTTAACTTTCCAGAAGTTATTTTGCCGATTTAAGAGTGAAAAAAACCAACAAAAAAACAGTATCAGTACCAATATCAGGGACACAACCACTGTTGAATCATCATGTAAGCTCATGATGAGGTAGGGATTTTAGTTGTACATATTTTGACATAACTCTGAAACTTCTTCAGTTGGCTTCAATAAGACATAATTTATATAACTGAGACCCACAGACGTGTCATCACCACCGTTTACTACACGTGGAGCTGGCGTATGACAAACATCACACTTTGTACTCAGGCTCCAGAGTTTCTGTTTTCTAAGGATGTTAAAATCACACATTTGAACCATCACTTATCTACTAATAGATCAAATCAATGAACATGTGATAGCAAAGGCAGCACCAGCTGAGGTATGGCTTGCTGTTTACAAATCTTGGTCATCAGCAACATGAACGTCTTACGTCTGTCCCTTCTGAAGCTGTGTGATTGTGTAGACGTATCGAGATGACGTCAATGTCTTTACACTCCTGAAATAACTAAAACATTGTCAAACAGAGTCATTATTGTCTCACTTGTGTCCCACACACTGTTATTACATACACTGAATAACACTGCATCGATATGTCTTATTAGTCATATCACATTGCTAGTTTGCTGTTTTTAATTGCTTTTTGTACATAAGATTTCTATATTCTACCTCGGATCAGAGAAAAGTTGCTGAGCTAAAATGATTATAGTATAAATGCAGATAAAGATTAAACTGGAAATAGGGATAAGGCGCTCCCTGCCCACTATAAATACAACAGAACTAAGCTTTTTTTGTCTATTTTTTTCAAGAAAGAAAAAAACATTTTGCCAAAATGAAATGTGTGTTACAGAAAGGAAGATAAAGACAATGCACGACAGTGCCTTATCATGTAGATTAGGATACTGCATCATCATGTTTTCTTTTCACGTCCTAATTGACTTTTAATTTGGCACAATGTTTTTTTCAGACATAGACGTTTGGCATTAAATGTCTGAGCATGAAGCTCTTTGGAAAGCATGAACCTAGGTTGTAGCATTAAATGTGCCCTTACAGCAATGGACATACTTATTTTGAATACACGTTACAAGCACTGACCCTTGCAGTCAAACTTATGATTAATTCCTTATTTTTGTTACAGTGTGTAAGTTGACTTTTGGCAGAGGCTGGCATTAAAGAGATGTGTTCTCTTTAATGCCAGCCTCTCTTTGTGGTCTATGCTTTATCTCAATCGTGGTTAAAAGTGCACACACCAATCTGTTATTTCCCTGCCAGGCCCTCTGCATTTCATACAGTGCTTTCAATCTCTCCCGTATACATTTTCACTTGCTTGATATAGTTTTACATACCTATAAAACAATCAAAGCAGTAGTTTGAAATTAGAGGTGGCCATCTTGGTAAATATACGGAATGATACCAAAACAATCCTGCTTTTAGTACATTTTGAATCAATGAATACAGACATATTATTTTGTTTTTCAGCCCCTAAGTGTTAGGAGATTCACAGTGAGTTGAGCGACTGGATCAGTAAGAGCAGCATGGGAAAACTCCAGCCCTTCAGAAATATATTGTTAGTTCGTATAATTGGTCAAAGGCAACACACCTGCTGTGTCCTCTTTCTCTTTCAATCCTTAGAAACGTTGTCCAGTCGTCCAAACAGCAGTATCTGGGACGAAACAGTATTATCGAGTTCAGGCCTTTACATTCACATTATCACTCAGAATGGTCTTCTGGTTTTGTCCAAGGTTAGACTGTTGAAAACCCAAACCAGTGATGGCAAGGATGGAGAGAGGAAGAGTTTATGTCCCCATTTGTTCCTCTGTGTCTTTCTTACAGATACGTCCTTTTATTTGGCCAGATATCCTGTCTGTTAGAAGCTCACCAAGGCGTAGACCATACTTCCGCAGGAAATAGACCGTGGCAACAGATGGAAACATTGGGAGAAAAAAGTAATTGTGCTGCTTTTTGTGCAATAAGTTCATAAAGCATTGCAACAAATCTGAAAAGCGTCACTGAAACCTAATGAAGTGACACTTCATTTAAAAGATTGTGAATTTGAACTGACCTGTAGAGATAATAGAAGAAAGAGAGCAGATAAAAGCCCATCTTACACCAGGACTCCTTCTGGCAGTAATTGAGAATGTCTGCGTTCATCACACTGACAGGGTCGTACATGACCACTGACCCGTCAGCTGGCCGATGAAGGAACCTTAAAAAGAAGAGAAGTTAGGCTCACGCTGGTGCTGGATCACCAGAAGCTTGTCAGACATCTTTTATGAGACCGTACCTCCACAGATGGTAGAAGAGCAGCGGGATATTTAGGCCAAGTGTGACCCACTCTCCAGCACACATGAACATCAGGCAGAAGAGCCCGTGGATGGAGTACTCTGGTACCACCAACTAACCAGAACAGACACAGGGAGTCAGGCTATAGGTCTGCATATAGCCACAGTAATCAGTAATCACACTTCAACAACTGCTGGGAAAACACTGAAACGCTCATGGGTTGCACGTTGTGATTTAACTACAATCTACAAAACCAGAATCACACTGCGAGGCAAACACTTTCACACAGAGGGTGTTAATGTTACTCATAGCTCGCTGCTTTTACGAGTGCAAATATAGTTTAATTAATATACAGAAGACTGGTTTTAGAAGTTAGTATTGATGTAGGCTAATTTGACATAGATGGTTCAGGTTGCTCAGACAACTAACTTGCTTCCAGACCTTAGAATCAGTGAGGTATTATAACCTTTTAAATTGCTGAAGCAAACTCGTAAGCAAACAGTCGATTATTCGCACATTCAGCTGATACAGAGCAACATTTGTAATCATTTGAAGTCTGCTATTTGGTCACGTGATTGATGTAAGTCCAATATTCAATCTATTTTTTTTTACCTCGGTTTTGGTCTCCACCAACTCCAGAGGGAAATATCCGGCTCTTCAGCGGCTAAATGCTCCACTATGTTCATGAGCTAGTTGCTGTTAATTGGTGCGGAAATAAAAATGTTGATTTTAGCTGCTTTAAAGAGCAACAATCAGCATTATTTTTTGTTGACACAGCAACCTTTTAACTGCTCCAATCAATATTATGTTATAGTCTCCCTTTGACTGACAATATTATCTATGGGACAGATATGTGACCACTTATTGATTGGGGCAAAATAACCCTCCGAGCTGGGAAGCATGAACACATTGTCAGAATAACTAATAAAGTGGAAAAAAAGAAGCAAATGAATCTGATTACCAGGCTAGATTGATTCCCTTTCAAAATGAAAATTGATTAGGTAACACTGCATCATGTTTCGCATTATGGTTTACCTAAATAAATCCATGATGAAGATGTTAAGTGTACCTCCTTTACAGTTAAACAGTTAAAGACACTTGAAATTGTATTTGCCCAACATAAATTTGTGGCATTTAAATAACTCTGTGGAAAATAAATTAAACTCTGTCAATCAGTCAATGGCAAATATATGTGAATCAGTAGCTAAATATTGGTAAACCTCCAATTACCATTTTCCTCTTTTTGAACCGAATATTACATTTTTCAATTCAATTTAATTAAATTTATTTGTATAGCCCAAAATCACAAATTTACCTCAGAGCGCTTTTACAATCTGTACAACATACGACCCCCCAAAAAAAATCACTATTCCTGTGACAGACATTTTTAACTGACTGTTCATTCAATTAAATCATAAAAACATTCATCTTTACACTGATGTAAAAATATATTATACAACATGGGCCCCAATAGTACAGTTAGCATGCTACCTTCCCTAAAGCTCCTCTTGTATTGTGTTTTTTTTGTTGATTTAATAACTTGAGCTTATTTGAAGTCCTCTGTTGTACCTAATACTGTTAAACATGTTCCAGCACAAGCATGTTCAAAATGGCCTCCACAGCATGTCACATTTCATATCAGGATCATTGAATTCTCTTTCTGAAAGTCTTGAAATGAGAGAAGAAGAAAAAAACATCACCACACACACAAAACCTGCTTGAACTGTTCTCCATCTCTGTGCGAATGCAGAGCGGTGATGGTGGGTTGTGGAGATGGACTACATGTGAAATGAAACAGCGTGAGTCATGGTCCTCACAATGGTTAGGAATGCAAATGGTCATGGTTGCCTGAAGCCCCTCTGTTTTATTCTTCCACCAACAACAGGTAACGAACAACTAGTACTCACTCTGCGGAGCAGGTTGCAGATTCTTTCAATGTTGAGAATCCTTTCCCTCTGTGGAGACAAAGAAAGTCTGATGAACAGTCTGCGTATTTCTTCATCCTCTTTACTAATTATGAATAGTCTATCCATGAAAATATATCTCAAGGCAGAAATAAGACATGCAAAAAATAGACCTGGTGAGTGCTTTTACATACAGAGAGATTCCTGCTTATTATTGTAAAAGACAAATCTGAACAATACATATTAATTCTCTCTCGACCCCAGCCACTAAAAGATACTCAACTAAAAATAATGAATACAAAAAAAATAATCTTCAGTTATTTATCATTATATACTTTAAAATATATATTTTAAATGCAACTAAGTACGAAAAAAAGAAATTATGAGAAAATCAGCACATAAAGACATTTACATTTGAAGCAATAAGCACAGTGATGTTTGGTGCAGACATGTTTGCATTAAGGCTAACAGTTTTGAGTCTTCTGAGAGCCATGAGAGAGGGCTCAATGAAAACCATCCATCTTTTACTAGCCAGCAGTTTGTGGCCTCTTAGAGTGGTCTTTTATTTTGGTGTTCACTGATTCGACAAATGAGATGTTTTGCTGTAGTTCATCGACCTAGATTAATCTGGGTTCAAGCAATAGTCAGGGAATTAGCCGACGGATTGTTAATTAAATGGTTGGCTTAATTTTTTAAAATATAAATATATCAAATAGATAAGCATCGTGGATACGTTTAGCGTGTGTAAACCATACTGGTGTTTGTTGCCTCTGTATTCACTGAAGCCTCAGTTGGAAATACTCTCATACTAATGTTGTGACACATTGAGGCATCTGTCTAGTTACAGGATGATGGCTTCCAGTATTGAGGCCTCTGTGATGTCCGTTCCCTTCAGCCCAAGCCACAAGCTGCACATTTTATGAAACTGTGGACATAAATTCAAACTCCCCCGGTGATCTGAAAGTGGATTTTGCCCTGAATCTACAACATCCGGCCTCCAAGCCAGACACAGCATCACTGCCTATTTGCAGTTGTTGGTGTTGGTCGATGTCATTTTCCTCCCTTTGCTTGCTTTGTGCAGTGCATCCTTCCGCGACACTGGGATTTAAAACACAGAGAGCACAGTGCTCGACCTGGGAGCTATGCTACTGTACAGTTTTTAAGGTTTGTAATTGCACTTGAAATTGTTGTCCTGCAGTAACTCTGCTTAGATTTTACAGCATAAAGCCTCCCTGAGATGCCCTAATTAGTGTCGGGTCATATAAACTTCACTAGGAATTTTTAATTGTTCCAACAAGGGAAACACACCTGAAAACGAATCAAAGACAGTGGACATTTCACAATATACAGAATAAATGAAACAAATGCAGGGCAACGAGTGCTGTCAAGTAGAATAATTACAATCTTATCGCGTAGCTGTGAGAATAACAGCCTTGTAATTTATTAATGAAATATCAAGAGCTTGACTTTTGTATTTTGCCATTTCACAGAGATTCTTACAACCGCGATGGCTTTACACATAAACCTGATTCGGAAACACGTGTTTAGTTTCTTCTGTTACGATGTTTCATGTTTTCTTTTTTCAACCAATATTTGCTGCTTTTGTCCGTTTTGTAGACAACGGCAGGTTGAGTGAACACTTTGCTCTCTGCTAACATGAGAAGTAATCACAGTTTCTTTCCCAAGGCTGTTGACATGTATGTCTTCTTCTGTTTGTGCAGTTTATTGATTTTGCGAGGGGCTGGCAGCCTCACATCCTAGCAGATCATGTTCTTTCTGAACACATCTGACATGCTGACTATTATAGGTTGTTCGTTACAGATTTTAAAAAAAAGAAAACGGCTGACGTAGCCTTGGTCAGTAGCCTTGATACGTACCCTTCCTGTTGCCAGGAAGCTTGTAATGCTCACTATTTGTTAGCACTCCATCTTTGCCTCAGGGGAAAGATAATACATCCACTTTGAAGTGATTATTCACATCAGCATTTATTTCAGGGCTACTGTTTTGGGTTGCATTATATTTTACAGGTGTTGCAGTTATTGTGTCCACCCCCCTGTAGCTGGCGTGCCTCCACACTCCCACAGTCTGCTTTCACAGTTTCCTCTCCCACTCCTCATCACTATCTTTGCAGTTCAGATGCAGGTTCACATGATTGCTAGAACATTAGTTAACTTGTGAAAAAGACATTCACAGCTGCTGTCAACTTGCTAAATTAATAATGGCAGTCATTATTGACTCATGATGATGTAATTTTATGGTTTTGCAAAAAAGATTGAGACAGAGATTTTCAAATGTGACTTAAGTCGAGTCTTGTACACTGAGGTGAAACCTCGTATCTGCTCTTTTATTGTTGCGACTGCAGAGTATCTCATTATATGAACAGCGTCTTCATTTAATTGATTAGGCAAACGAGCCTCTGTCTTTAAAAAAGGTTGATTGCTTCAATCTGCATACAAATGAGTGTTCAAGGCAAATGCTATAGATGCTACGAATGGAAGCTTGGAATAGTAGGATTTCTATTAAAAGTAGTAGAAATATGTGATGTTGACGAAATGTAGCTGAATAAAACATTTGAAAGATTTCATTTCAGGAACAAAAAACCCTCATTTACATAAAATGAGTGCTTGCTTTTCCAGTATACGATTACAGACATTCATGGCAGTGTACTGTTGTTTTTTCATGAAAGGACCTTTTTTTTAATAAACTCAAAGTCAATATTACAAATTTAAGGTCATCTGCAACATCTTTGGAGGGAAACCCTCAATTTGTTCTTTGCATTTTACGTGCAGATCATTGAATGTTCTTGGAACTGAAAAGAAGGGATTTCTGTTTGCACACGAGCGTTTGATGATTCTTGAAAGAAGGGAAACAGCAGGGTTCTTACCGCTCTGGTGGGATTGCTCTGATCAATGGGGTTTTTGAAGTCCGTGCGAAGCTCATCAAATGCAATGATCTGAAAAAATAGCAGATACTGTATGTTAGTTTGTTTTCAAGTAGTTACTTTTAGAGCACTAATGAATGCACATACTGTAATATGTATATTGAATAAAGACATCATTGTTAACTTTTCAACACTACACTCAAGTCTCAGCCTCTTGTACAATACTGTCATAACTAACCTAGAACAGCATACTGTACTGCACACCCGCTGCATCTTGTACAGCTGCAGCCACATTGTTCACATTGCCCGAGCACACAAGGGAATTCATGAATGTGTACATGTATAATTACTTACAGCCTGGCTCTTTCCCTTTACACTGCTCTGATATGATTCATGTGTCATTATGTAGTTTCTTGCTATTTAAGAAGCTCCTCTTAAATGATATGCCAGTCTCTTTTAATTAAGCCTGATCATACAGTTTACATTAGCAACTGTGGAACATCCATTGAGACGTACGCAGCTGTCGAAAGAACCAATTTCTAATGATAAATGCATTTATTTAATCACAATCTGGCAGGATTAAAACAATCACTTCACATTCAAAGTTATGTTTTGCAAAAGTAGATATATTTAAAATGCAAGACTTAAGAAATATGCTTTGTTGGGTTTGTATTTAAGAGGATCATGGTCTACTCGAGATATGTATAGAATTTGGCACTATTTCGTTTTTTTGTCCTTTTTAGTAAAACTAAATGTGACCATAGAGCAAATAATGTCATTGTTGTATGTATGCTAGGCTGATAGGTTGCTATCTGCTCCCTGTGAGGTGAGTATGACTACTATTGTTTTCTCACCAGCTCCCTGATTAATAGCTCTATAAAAATATAATAATTCTTGGTGTAAAGACCACCCGCCATGCTTCTCATCATTTCAGCTTTTAAAACAGCAAAGCTCACCTTTGACTGCTCATTGAGAAGCAATGAAAAGCAGACATTTTTTTGCCAATAAGTGAGCGTCTGATTTGCGTCAACAATGATAATATGAAAACAGATCCGTTTAAAATCGTAACAGTCCTGGAGGTAATTTCCCCCGCACGAGTCTAGAAGGCTCCCCCTCGTCTTCCTCCACACTTAGCTCCATTGTAAACAGATGCAGTTTCCATGGCAACATGGTGAGCCCCTCAGTGGGCTCCATGGTTACTATAGCTGTGAACAAACATTCTGATTGGTTGAGAGCCAGATAGAATTGGGGTGCTGTACCCGTGGGTGGAGGCAGACTGGGGGAAGGGGGGAATATAATCGTAGTTTGATAAGCGTTTCCATCACATGGCTGAACGCTGAGCCAGACACACGCTTCTGATCCGTCTCTTTCACACACAGACACACTGACTGACTCATATGTAGTCTCACCCACTTAGTCAATTGCTACGTTAGTCATTTCAAGTCTTATGTTCATAATGATGTGTTTTGTATTTCACATTATTCCTGCCTCCGTGGACCCAGTGTTAAGGGCGAGGGATCAGTGCTTTAGTGTTTGTTCTGTCTGCACTCGTGTAAACCAGCAAGCCAGAGTGCACCAGTGCCCAGCGATATCTGTGCAAATTCCACTCAAAATGCCGCAGGCAGACAGATTCACAACAAGCCTGGCAGTGGGATTTATGATCATTGTGTTTTGCCACCTCCCTGTACTCATTTTGTGCAGTTTGCTGAAGCCTGAACACCTGATCTGTTTATTGGCAGTTAGGTTGCTTTACTGTGAAGGGATGGAATCTGTCTTTTTGTTGAATATGTCAGAGTCAGACAAGCTCAGGTTAATTATACTGGCGATAAACCAGTATGTAAGCAGGTCACTTAGTCACTGTATGGAAATCGATGAAAAACACAAACTAATTCCGCAGCCTGTGTTTTAGGTCCATGCATCTCCTCTGTGGTCTGTTCTGTTTCAACCAATTATTACTTTGCAGCTCGGTGTTTGGTGGCTTTTAAGCGACAATTCAAAATGTCAGTCAGGTACAATTAGACTGAGATTCAGCTGACACATTTATGCATGCCATTACTTCTAGAGTACCTAAGCGAGGTGTGTGTTTGCCGTGTTCCTGTCAGTGTTGTACAACGGTGCGTTGGTGGATGTGTTTTGTCTGCCTGCGTGGGATGGAGCGTGGACCTTCACAGGCCCTACATGTGTCCTATTTTAGTTTCAGTGTGTGTGTGTGTGTGTGTGTGCAGTGGCTCCAGTGTGCATAGTGCTACTCACCTGCCATATGACAAAGAAGATAAGAGCCGCGCACAGCACCAAGGTGAGCATGTAGCAGAAGGCCGCAAAGGTGAATGCCACGGCTGAGCCGGCCAGCCTGATGCCGGGATGGGTCGAGAGAGAGAGAAGGGAACGAATCCCCTGCTCTCTATCTCTCTGGCTATTGCTCTCCCTCCTTTTAGTGGAGGTTAACGTCTGTTTCCGCCTCCGATGCAAGCGGAGTCTGTGCCGTCCAGGTGGGTGGATCACTCAGTTTTCAGGGAAAATCAATAATCATCTTGGCTTCCCTGCTTGCACTCATGTCTGTCTTTTTGTGTGTGACAGCAGGACGACCCCTGCCTCACTTTTGATTAAGGAAGCACTTAAATGTCTTTTCACAGCCACAGTTGTCCGTCGTTGGCCTGGTGCTCCTTTTTTTTCAGCCTCTGACAGGCAAGATGTCTGTCTCCTCCTCCTCCTCCATGTAGTTTCTCTTTAGACGAAGCCTACACATTTCTTTTTCTCACAGTAACGCAAGCCACAAAGTGTCTGACTGACGCGCCGACAGAAGAAGCACAGGATTCTTGTCGATACTAAGCACAGCACTGTGTTTTAATAACAGTGAGGATTACCGTCTCAGATGGTTATGGCTTGTGATAGTTTAGGAGTTTGTTGTATGGCTTTCAGTTCATCTGTTGCTCTGAATCAAGAACACCATTAATGACGCATATTTCTAAATCACATTTAACACAGTTGTAAACAACCATAGCTTGCAGATTACCCGTGAGTTATAATTTACAGAGCAATCTTTTGGTATATTACTTATTTTATTACAAAATTTGGGGGAAATTATTTATTCACCACCACATGAATCTGACAATTTGCTGAAGATACAAGCTATTGCTTTGCACATCAGACAATTAAGACAGTTATATTCTGACAAAGCAAAATTCTGGTGATTTTGCAATAAACTAATATATTATAAAATAATTAAATAATAGTTACGAATCACTGAGGGAGCAAATATTGGAATTGGCTTTCAAATGAAACAGCTATTTATCATTACAATGCGAATATCACACACCCAAGAGGATTACAAATACAAGAGTACAATATTGATAATAGTTTGAGTTAGGATGGATCAATATCTTGACCAATCTTAATATCGAGTAAAGAATACCTGTGTCTGGTCGGAGACGTGTCTGCCACTGAACAGTCCACTCTTTCCTCGTCTCTGTCAATTTGGGTCGGCACCATGTCAGAATTCTCTGCTGTGCATCTTTCTCTCAGACGCATCCCTCAGATTTCTCCAAAAACATTCAGATTTGTCTGCTAATGCGCAGGATAAATTATTAAAATTCTGGGTTGAGGGGGGGGAAGAGGAAATTTGAAACAGAAACCTGCAGAACATCTACATGTTGAGTCTCATTTATTCTGACTTAGAAATCTCTTCTGTTCTTAAGCAAAAATCTCCATCGCCCTCAGAAGTCATGAGTTAATTAGTCCACCTCTCTATGGTCTCCCCCTCTTTATTCCCCTTTCTTTCTTCCTTTCTATAGTCCTCTTTTTGATCTCTTCCAGAGATTTTGAAAACAGACCTGAATGTGTTTCCTGAGTCTACTGTCTCTGTCTGTCTCTTCCTCTATTTCTTAGACTGCGAGAGAAATATTTCTATCACCCTTGATGTTATAACGGTCAACCAATAGCATCGCTCTGTCTCCCCCCCTCTTATTTGCTCTCTCTCTCTCTCTCTCTCTCTCTCTCTCTCTCTCTCTCTCTCTCCCTCCTCTCTCTCCTCCTCCTCTCTGTCTGTCAGTCGCCCTCTCTCTTGCATTTAGACATTTCCATAATCCCTTGTTCCCCAGGGAGTGATGAGGGGGCAGGGCAGGCTGCAAATATTTTTCCTTTTGTCTGCCTCTGTCTCTCTCTCTCTCTCTCTCTCTCTCTCTCTCTCTCTTTCCATTTCTCTACCTCCCTCTGTCATTCCCTTTCACCAGAGCCTTCAGTCATCCGTCATTTCATGAAATGTACTGTAAGTCTGTTTCTTAGAGGGTGTCGCTTTCAATCAGTTATTTCTTTCAATTCTCCGCACTATTAGCTATTCAGTCAACATATATTAAATTGCACAATTTCATTTTTTTGGTAATTCTCTCTGTTTTCCAGATTATTGAACAGACTTTATCAACCACGGTTGCCATCTAATGCACATGACTGACACATCTTTCGGTGAAAGTATAGTATCACAGATTCTCCATGTTAATCTGGACAAATACCAAAGTCTGTGAGGATCACCTGCATTACAAAGACACCCTATTGTTTACACCTGTAAAAACTATTTTTGGCCACTTGGGAGCAGTGTAAACAAGCTGTAAACACGCATGACTTAATTGACACTCAGACAGTGTCCATGTCTGAGTGTCAATTGGACAGTGATAATAAAGTCATTGTGTAGTATGTCGAAAAAGTAATTAAAAAGTCGTATTAATGTATGTCCGAAAAAACCCCATTTAATAGTCATATTTATGTATGTCGAAAAGAGACTAAAAAAGTCATGGTATAGTAAATATGTGGAATAAATCATGATTGAAAAGCTTCTGTGACTATCTCTCCTACCTACCAGGTGGCCCCGTGTCCTGTGTGCAGGCTCTTCATCTTGCAGGATCTGGTTCGTCAGCTGATGTGCCTTGTTTGGGTCCTCGTGTGAATCAGGCTACAACTGCTCACCACCTAAACATGGAGTACTGAATTACCACATTTGCAATGATATTTTTGGTTACTTCGTGAATAAATTACTATTTATTACTTTTATGCTTAATGGTCTACTATTTTTTGCAGCTTTTTGTTGTTCAGCTGTAACAAGTCATACAAAGTCAAAGTATGTCAAAAACAGGATAAAAAGTCATAGTTTAGTATGTAAAAAAAGTCACAAAGAATTAATAGTATAGTAAGATGAAAAAAGTCACTAAAAAGTCATAGTTATAGTATGTTGAAAAAAGTCACACAAAAATCATAGTATGCCGAAAAAATGCACAGTATGCCGAAAAAAGTCATAGTGTAGTTAATCGAAAGAGTAATAAAGTAGTTGTATAGAATGTCAAAACAAGTCATAAAAAAGTCATAGTATAATATGTTGAAAATAGTAAAAATCAGACATAGTATGGTGTGTCATAAAAAGTAAGTGTATTGTATGTCAAAAAAAGTAAAAAAAAAAATCATATGTTGAAAAAGTCACAAAAACGGCATTGAATATTATGTTGAAAAAATTTCAGAAAAAAGTCATAGTATGTCAGAAAAAGTCATAGTATAGGTAGTCGAAAAGTCATAAAGATGTCATTGTATAGTTAGTATGTCAAAAAAAGTAAAAAAATATATAGTATAGTACACTGAAAAAAGTCACAAAGTATTAGTATAAAAGTATATTATGTCGAAAAAATCATGAAAGTCATGTATATTGTTGAAAAAATACATATTTTGGTCTGTCGAAAAGTTTTAAAAAGTCATAGTATATTATGTCGAAAACAGTCTTTAAAAAGTCATATTAATGCATGTCGAATTAAAAAGTCATTGTATTTAAAAAAGAAAATCCTATTTTAGTAGGTTCAAAAAGTCATAGTAATGTTTATAAAAGTAATTTCAGTCATAGTATGTCAAAAGACGTCATCTGCTAGAATGCACTACTGTTTTTGTTTGGCATTGTTTGTCATTAGTTTGTTGTGTAACGAATGGTCAAGTGAATTTTGTTATGCATCCCTCTGCATAATGCATAATGACAATAAATGATCCTTGAAAAGTAATGTATGTTGAGAAAAGTCACACAAAATTCATAGTGTGTTTGGTTTGTTTTAAAAGTCATAGCATAGTTTGTCTAAAAAAACCCTGAAGGTTAAGTACGTGGGGAAAGTGATAACAAATTCATAGTGTAGTACGTGGAAAAAAGTCATTGTAGTTAAATCAAAAATTAAAGTCAAAGTATAGTATGTCGAAGAAAAAGGCATGCAACAACATGTTGAAACAAGCTAAATAAGTCATATGGTATGTTTAAAAGGCATAAAAGTCATAGTATAGCATGTCAAAAAAAAGAAAGTCCAAATAAAACACTTTACAAATGGGGGCCAAAATAGAAATAAAAAAAAAAAACATACATCGTAGAAATAGACAATTACGCAATAATGAGTAAATTGGTTAGACATTAAAAGCAGACTTGAAAATAAATGATTCTGAGGTCCGGATGCAAGTGGGAAGAGAGTTCCAGAGGGTGGGGGGCAGCGGCAGAAAAAAGGCCCCTTCACCCCAGGTTCAGTGCTCGGTCCTAGTTGTGAGCGTGAGGAGGTTAGCGGTTGCCAATCTGAGGGCACGCAGGAAGGAGTGAGGGTAGGTAGTAGGTGGCCATGTTATGGAGAGCTTTGTAGGTGATGATGAGAAGAGCTATTTAAAAATATTTAGAAATCGCAGTAACGCATGTTGAAAAAAAGTAATTAAAAGTCTTAGTAAGTAAAGCATCTCGAAAAAGTGATACAAAATTACAGAAAAAAGTACAGCATGTCGAAAATGGTCATGACTGTCGGAGTGGATTTTGTTGACAGGACATAAAAAAAGTCAGCATTTCAAAAAGTGTCACAAAATAGTATATTAAAAAACATCACTAAAAAGCCATAGCATACATAGTATGTCGAAGTATTTAAGAAAAAGTCAAGTCAAGAAAAGTCAAAAAAGTTATATTATTGTATGCAATAAACATAAGTGTTTTATGTCAAAAAAAGCCATTGTATAATAAATTTTAAAAAGTGATAGTATATGTAAAAAAACCTCCATGTGACAACTTAAGATGAACCGATACAGGAACACAGGAGGTATAAATAAGGACTCACAAATGGGGAAGTGGGAGCAGGTGAGCAGGAGGTCTGGTAGTTACGGGGCTGACAAGAGAGTAATCAGGGCGGGGCAGACAATCAACAAAGGCGGGACAACGCACAAAGGCAAGTAAAAACAAACACAGGACACATGAGGCAGAGAGACGATCTTTCACCCAGGGGACCACTGGCGGTATATGAACTGTTAAATGAGGATATTTAGCTTAAACAGCTGTCATAAAAAGTAATTGTATCGTATGCCAAAAAACATTTCATACAAAATGTTTTGTCACAAAAATTTCATAAAAGGTATGTAGCATGATATGTAATAAAAATGTCATAGTATAGTATATGTCATATTGTAGTATGCCATACAAGTCGTCAAGATAATCAGCCATACAAAAAGTAATATGTTTTGAAAATGTTGAATACAAAGTTGGGTTGAAAGAGTAAATAATTTGCTGCTTTGTGTTGAGCCATTGAGATTCAACGTTTTAAACGATCGACGGGCACGCTGTACAATGGTTTAACCACACTGACAATTGAAAGCGGAGAAAGAGACATGCATCCCTATGAGCAACAATTGAATACAAAAAAATCACCAGTCATTGGTAAAATAAACTGGAGGCTTAGCATCAAAACGTGTGCAGATTTAAATAGGAACAAGGTGTTCAGTGTCAGTGTTTCACAACAATGCCTATAACAATGGACTGACAAATCACAGTTTAAACCTCTTCAATCCAACGGCTACCATACATATTATAACGGTACAAGTACCGTTGTTCTTCAATAATGATCTGGGGTCACTTTCTGGCGAATCAAAAGGTGTTTGGGGGAAAGAATGGTTACAACAACACTCTGCCCGATCATGTAACTGACTAATCGTAAGTTTTAATCACTTCTTCTTTTGGGGCCAAAACAATTTCAAATGTAAACTATATATTTGTCTGAATTGTACTCTTTTTGTCTCTGTTAAAATTGTCATTATTGAAGACCACAAACTTTTGAGCGATAGTGTTTGAATATAAAGTGATCCTTTGGTCACCTGATTGATCAATGGACTGTGTATAAAGAAAGTGGAAACAACCTCAGACAATAATTAAGGCAAAACATATGGGTGGAACACCCTCAGTGCATTGCATCATGTACTATGTAAATAACGAGGAGTAAATGAACCTCTTGTTAATGCTGGATGGTTTGTCACTTGTCTCATTGCTGGTATTAGGCTGCCCACTAGTGGTGATGATGAGTGACTGCATCACCCGTATTTTCCACATTCCTGACACACTGCAAAGGCATGACATGAAATCTTGTGAGTGAAACCCCAAAATACTTGATTATCTGCTGAACACATATGCTGCAATGTGGGCTGATGTGAAGATATTTCTATTTTATTCATAGTTCAAACAGAAATGTTCAGGTAGACACACTAATGATGATATCATTTATCATATTTCAGTGATGGAAATACTTAATTCTTACTTTACTTTATTCAAAACAGCTGGTAACTATATGAGAGAGGCATATGGGGAGAAATTAAAATGGTTTATATGTGAGTAAAAGTACTAAATGAAATGTTACTGCTGCTCTTTATGTGAATGTGAATGGAGAGGCCACAGCTTTTCAGCCTTTCAGCCAATTGTGCAAATCTCAAAATCATGATAATGTTTATGTCAAAGTAATATTATTCATCTTATTATCACAAGTCTAACATTAGCTTGTTTTGTTCACTGCTGCATCACTGAAAAATGGCTGGTTCAACACAGTTAACATCAAAAAGCTCAACAATCATCTGCATTACTTCAAAATGAAACTCTTCCTATTTTTCAAATATGTTCACGGTTGGACTTTTGTCATTTCTTTTGACTGTTACCGCTTCTAAATCATTTTACACACCTGTTAAAATCTGCATGTGCAATTCCAACAACATTTTCATTAGTGTATTGGTGCAAAATGAACACTGACACATTTTAAATTGTCCACAAGATGGCAACATAGGAGCAGCAGAAGCAGCAACAGATGGTCATATTAGGCGTCTAACAGCAGTATTGATCTTCAAATGAATCACTCTCAAGGCAGAATTCTAAGTACCGCCAGTGGCTTTATTTGCTGTGCAATAAGGCGTTGAGGCATC